CAATGCCACTTTCTTATTGAGCCACTTCCAAAATGATCATTGGCCTTGCTCTATTTTTAATCAAGGTTTGATCCCACAAGCAATAGGGCTGTTCGGATTATTTGTACATCTGATTCCTTTGGGGATATTTATTTCCAAAATTGAAAATTTGGAGGTGAAAGTCAGGTTTTACTACCAGGTGTAACAGGCTTTGTACATGTATGTTGCCTCTGGGGAAAACCCCAAGTTACACCTCAGATCTCCAAAAGCCAATTTTCACTGAATGGGCCACAATTTAGAAGATTTTTCCATTCCAAGCTACAATCCTGGATAAATCTCGTTGGAATATACCTCCCCTCACCCTGTCAATGTTGTTTCTCATTGGGTAAGCTGGGCTTAATCTTGGTCCAATAAATGACCGCAACATAGAATGGGGGAGAGGGGGCATCTTTTCACCGTGCTGCCCACAAGCTGTTCCAACTATTTTGTCCAGGACTGTAGCAGGGAAATTGTCCAAGAGGAGGTTTAGGCCACTGTGAGATACTCACATATCCTTTATCCCTGTCCAGTGCCTGTATGGGATGGGAGAGGCTGGCCCTACCTAGGTACAGGTCTTGCTGGTGGTTGTAGCTTTGTAATAGCTGCAATAGGTTCAACACATTGAGGTAGTTATCATCGTCCAAGTGGCAAAACCACCTAAAAAGGACCAGAACAAAGTCACATTAACAAATCTTAGAAACTGACAAAATCTGTCACCCTAATGGTCCTCTTTTAATTTTAAAGTAATTGTTCAGACACTTTACAGGGCTAAAGCTCGATAGTACCAATGACTGCTGCTGTTGTTTTGGAAAGCCCTGGGTAGCAATTTCTGAGGAGATTATTTACACGTACTGAGGAATGCGAGATAGAAATCTGGATCTCTGTCATAAATAAACCTGACAGCATAGTGTGGGCACGATTCTAAAAACTACAGGTATACATTTCAACAATCATTCCCTCCCCCAACATTAATTTTGAAAACCACTCAAATTTGCCAGCGAGTTTAGCAAGGGTCAAAGTCTGTTAGACCAGGTATTGCTGGGAATTGGGGTGTGGCGTTATCCATATTTAAGGGTAAAACCATCATTCTTTTCAGCAAAACCATGAAAATGTCAGCAACAAGTGTCCCTATGACCAACACCCCTACAATCAGATGGTTTGCATTCCAGATGCCTTGAACACTGCCCCCTACAATGTTAGATGATGTCCCCCTCTCCATTCAATCCGCTCCCCTTCTTTAATTTCTGGAAATCCCCAAACTGAAAAAATACTGGCAACATTTTCACTGGCTGCGATCCATCAGCAATTCTACGTCCCCACCAGTACCATTATTGATTGAACACATTTTATCAACCCAAATGACAAAGTGGATATTGTGTAAACATTGTGTACAAACATTTAACGGATTACCACATTATCACAACAAACAAGTTTGACAAAGCAATTTCAAAAACCTGGTCATTTCTCAGCCCAGATGTTGTTGAATATACAAAAGACTTGAAATTCGCAAAGTGGTAATCAATTTTTCAAACAATTAAAATAGAGGGAGTGGCCCTGAATCTGATGTTACCATTGATGAGAAATGCAACATCAGTCTATTCACATCTGTTATTCCATATTCATGCAGCAACATGGGCAATGCACTCCTGTAATGCCCTACCTGCCAACTTTGAAGAACAAAAATTCAGAATGATTACAATTGTATTGATATGGTTACTAATTATTATGTGCGTGAAGCACACATCATGATCACGTAGTGAAAAGTCCCTTACTGGCAGGGTCCAGGGCCCTTAAGGGGGTCCTGGAAGCTCCAGGGTTTTAGGCACTCTCTGGTGCATTCTGAGCCATTTTTGTTGCATTTTTGCATAAGATTTATGACCAGTTATTGGTAAAAAATTTTGTGAAAAATGCTAATATTTAAAATAATTTTGGTTGAAAGAAAAGTGGTGAATAGCATAGTGATGGGGTAATATCTAATTGTTAGAATAGCTTGGAAATATACCATGTGTCAAAAGACAAATTTCTCGGCAATTTTTAAGTTGAATAAATCGGATAATTTGAAATAAATGTTACACGCAAGTTTGTCTTTCCCAAGAGTGTCGACAATGTAAGACGTCTTCGTTTGCCCACATGCATACTTCTTAGCAATCTGTGAGTCGGGGAACATCTTTTGAAACAGTTTACTGCAATGATGGGCAACACTAAGCGGTAGGCTGTGTTCAATAATAAACTCAGTCATCAGCACTTCAGCATTGATTACACTCACATCGGAAGTAGTAGCAAAGAAACTGGTCAGCCATCTTCCACGTGTAGCCTCGGCTGTGGTTTTGTGCTTTTTTGTGTTGACATGTTTCTCAACGTCACTCAGTCCGCCGTGGCTTATAATAAAATTAGTCGAACACAAGTTACAATGTGCGTGATGTTCTCCAAGTTTCAAAGGCAAAAGTACCGGGAATTTCTGGGAGTATTCCGGCCTATACTTCAGCAGAATATGTTTCTTTTCTTTCCTTGTGCCGTTCATTTTGATGTCTCAGAAACCACAGAGGTAGCCAGGTAGAAACTCAGTCTTCAGTCGGCGAACGGCATCACTTACGGCCAAACAATCATGCTGTCATGACAATCACACGCAACTTCAAAAAGTGTGGCTTTCATTACGTCATCCACCATGTGCGAGGGCACCGGTTGTATATTAAATCATATTCCTCGCTACACAGTGTCTCGTCATGTGCTCGTGCACGCCCCTGCCGTCTGAAGTACATACATGTACCCATAACGCATTTGACGAAACCGATGGAGTTGGAGACATAATTTTGATGGCTACACTATCTAGTATTACACCAGCATAATTTTCAGATGATTCGAGTGCCATGTGTTAACCTCAGCTCCTCAGCTCATGGCTGTAATCTCTTCTCCAGCCATTGTAAGATGTAGAAATTTGAAAAAATCGTAATTTCGAAACTAAGAATCCTACTTCAGAATCTACATAAAAAATCGGAATAATTCCGCCAAAATCGGAATGGTTGGCAGGTATGTAATGCAGTAGTCTGTATACTTGCACACTTCTTTCATGACAAAATCTCAATTTAATTTCCAAACTCACCTTTTTCCCGATTCTAAAAATGTGTCGTATATTACAGCCACCTTACAGCACAGAGCCTGCCTGTGAACCAACAGAAAATATATACACAGGGTGTTAAAAACACAACCCAAATACAAAATTCATTTACTCCCAAATCAATGGTCAGAAATCACCAATTTCCATGATACTTTCAGTAATTTAACACAAATCAGTTTTGTTCTGTCCAACAGAAGTTTAATCAGTTAATTTGGCAAAGGTACGCAATCACCATGAATTCAGATATTAAAGTATCAAGCAACTATTTCTTCCGTACTTCGTTGCATTTCTGTCTAGTTCTAAACTTCATGAAATTGATTGTTATTTGATTAAATGTAACTTTACAGCTTCAGAGATTAAAAACTTCATTTGAACTTGTGCAATTTACCTCATTCAGTTTGTAACAAAATGCTGATTTTATTTACTTCTGGAACTTTAACCATTTGAACCATTTCAGGATCCTTTTTTGTTGATGAAAATAAAAGAGATTTAACCTAACACAACAGAAACCTACTCAGTTCAGTATCATTCTGTTGGCATTTTCAATGATCTCAGGTGTGAAGGATGTTAAATGGTGTAAATATTGCATTTTGATTGCTGTGGTCAATCCCATCGGACAGAATAAAAAAGCAGTTGTCTTACGTAATCAAGATTATCTTAGCAAGTTTCTTTCCAAGTTTTAATTTGATGCCAAAAAACAAATTTCTGACAAATATTTCAGGAGAATAATAACTGATAGTTTTGGGGTGTATTTTGGGGAAGAAACCTTGTATATCATATCCAAACAAACAAGTAAAAAACTAGAGGTTTTGTGGTTGTTACAGCAACAACCACAGAGCTGTTTCAGATTTCGAGTTGTCTAAATGATAAAAATAATTACAAAATAAAATATTGAAAATTCAATTAAAAAATCAGAAGATGACATCATCATAACGTCATCAATTTGGAATATTTCTTGTATTCAAGGTCTTTGTTGGCTGTATCTTTGACAATGATCACAGATGCCAAAGTTACCAAAATGGTGCCTTGATAACGTGTACAAAGACAATAGGCTTAAGTAAATATTGAAAAACCAATAATAAATCAGATGATGATGTCATCGTGACATCATCCATTTAGAATAATTCTTGTATCAGGGTTTTTGTTTGCTATCACTTTGATAAAGATCAAACACACGAGAATACCAAAATGATGGTTTGAAAACATGTCGAAAGTCAATGGGCTAAAAGCACATGCAGAAAAACTGCTCCTCTAAGTGCGTGTCACATGATTGCGGTCAAACTGAAAAAAATATGAAATATTAAATATTTTGACTCTTGGGTATATATGTAATGGAACAAAGGGAAAATTTAGTCTGGTTTCTCTGTCCTTCTCATAGTAATGTTGAGCCCAAGGTTAGGACAACTCACTCATTAGTGTGAAGTAGAAAAATGTGTACAAAACCTGTGGAGAAAAACTGCCGCTTTAATCTCATGTCATGTGACCCCCGATGATGTCATTTTGACATTTTTGTCCTGGGACCTTTTGCCCATGGCGGACTACGCGTGTATATAAATGGAATAAGTCAGATTGACCAGTGCCGAAGCCTGGCAGTTGAAAAATGTATACAAAACTTGTAGAGAAAAACTAAATTTATTCAAAATTCAATAATAAATCATGTGATTAAACCATCATGACGGATTTCTTCTAGGGCCATCCTTGGATGGTTGTCTGAAGGTCTGCCAAGTTTGAAGTCAATCAGATATACAAAACTACCAATGTCGACTAGTGGAAGAAAACATGTACAAACCCTGGGGGGGGGAAATAGTCTGAAAGAGGCAAAGAAAAAGAAAAGAGAGATCATCTGTCTGTTTGCCAACAGAACAGAGGGCTTTTTTGCATCCCTTTCTTAAGTTGAACAACCAATCTACTGCACAAACCATATGGCATAAGTCTGTCATTATTACCATTTGGGTCCAAGGTTTCAACCCAATCAGGTGCGTACAAGAGGAAATGATGCACTTTAAATGAGATGTAATTTGACTCATCTGATGGCATCATCATCACATTAGGTACCATTTCATCTAGAACACTTCCTTTCCTTGTCATCTGCAATGTTTGAAATCATTGAGATTTGTACAGTGTACTTCAGGAGACATAGGGCTTTAAAGAATGCACTTTCAATGTCACATGACTTGTCTCTTGATGACGCCAACATCACAAGGTTAAAATTCCTCTAAAGCACTCCCTTTTCAAGATATCTGCAAGCTTTAAACCGGATCGGACAAGGACTTCAAGAGATATAGGGCTTTAAAGAGTGCACCTTTAATGTCATGTGACTTGTTTCCTGATGACGTCATCATCACATGAGGTTAATATTCCTCTAAAGCACTCCCTTTTCAAGATATCAGCAAAATTTGAACTCGATGGGACATCTACTTCAAGAGATATAGGGCCCTGAAGAGTGCACATTTAACATCACGTGATTTATCCCCTGATGACGTCATCAGCATGAGTTCAACATTTGTCTGTAACCCTTCCCTTTCTAGTTATCTGCAAAATTTCAAACAGATAGGTCATATCCTTTAGGAGATCTAAGGCTTTAAAGTTTACAGATTTAATGCCAAGTCAAAAAAACGTGTACAAAACCTATGGGGAAAAATAAACTATTCAAAAATCGATACAAAATAAGATGATGACATCATCCATCTAGTGCTTGTATCAGAGTCTTTGTTGGCTATCAAACATCACGAAGTTACCAAAATTGTGGCTCAAAAACGTGCACAAAGTCAATGGGCTAAAAATATGTGTGCAGAAAATTGCTCCTTTAAGTTCATGTCACATGATTTGCGTCTAAACTGAAGAAAAATTATGAAATTTTATTTGATATTCTGACTCCTGGGTATCTTTGGAATCGAACGGAAGGGAAAATTTAGTTTGATTTCTCTTTCGTTCTGGTAGTAATGCTGGGTCGAAAATGCAATGAGGACTACTCACTCATTACGCTCGATAATAGTGTGTAGTGCAAAAACTTGTACAATCCCCATGGAGAGAAACTGCACCTTTAATCTCATGTCACGTGACCACTGATGATGTCGTGATGACGTACGTGTTCTGGAACCAACTTTATGTGGTGGAGTATGAATGTGCACAAACACGAAATCAGTTAGATTGAAAAACGTCCTGAAGTATGCCTGTTGAAAAACGTGTACAAAACCTATGGGGCAAAATAAACTATTCATAAATCAATACAAAATAAGGTGATGATGTCATCATGACGTCATAAATTTGGAAATGATTTTGCATCAGGATCTTTGCCTGTAACTTTGCTGTAACTTTGATGACAATTGAATATTGCCAAGAACCCAAAATCGTGCCTCGAAAATGTGTGCAAAGTCAATGGGGCTGAAATAAACATTGAAAAATCAATAATAAATCACTTGATGATGTCATCATGATGTCGTGTTTCTAGGACCATCTATGCATAAGGGTTCTTCA